CTTTTGAAATGAGTATTGCCATTAACTTTTGACGATTACAGAATCGAAAGCTTTGGAAAAATCGACGAATAGGCTATAGATTCTGCCTTTAGGGCGCGAGTGATATTTTTGTACGAGTCCATGTAGACTGAAAATTTGATCTACAGTGGAGTATCCAGCCCTATACCCTGCTTGGGCCTCTTCATATTGATATGTGTACTCATAGCATTCTTTCAATCTATTATTTAAGACATCAGTGTAAATTTTACCAAGATTATCAAGTAAAATAATTGTCCTATTTTTATCCTTTCTTAAAAATAGGTGTTATCAGACCTTTGCACCACGATTCCGGAAAATGACCACTGTCAAAAACAGCATTAAACAAGAGCGTTATGGCTGGCACAATAATTCCAGTAGTTGCCTTAAGGAAGTCGATGCCAATGTCGTCCGGCCCAGGGGCAGTACCACCTTTGGCGTTATTAATGCAAACAGAGACTTCTGGGATATTCGACTATTCAGATACTCCAGTCCTGCTTCTATACAAAGCCCTTCATTTCCCTCATTGTGATCTGTGTCTGCATTGAATAAACTACTGAAATAATGTGCCCATTCACTTTTTTAACTTTTAACATTTCTTAGAGTTTTCCAAAAGCTAGTGGCATCATTAAGATTACTCAAAAGTTTGTCGTACAGGTCTTTTTGATACCATTGTTTCTTGCTAAGACATAGTTTTTTTAAATGCTTTGGTAGCCTCATTGTAGTTTGCAACATGACTATCAGATTTGAGTTATGAGATTATCAAGTGCAAAGTATTTATCTTTTTTAGCAGTTTGGTATTGGTCGTCAAACCAGGATGGTTGTCTCCCCTGTTCCTTTTGTAACAATGGTCTGTGTTTTAACAACATTTCATTTGCCTGTGATCTGATAAAGGTTTGAAAACGGACCAAAGCCAGCTCAATGTTGCAATTAGGCATTAGACTATTTTGGAAATCATTGTAAAATTTTCAAAAATATTTGCCACATTAAGTCTGAATTGGTCCGCTTTATTCACATACCAAAGCAATTTGGTATATGGTGTGCATATGTTTTCTGCTTCCACATTTGCAAGTGGGTTAAGTCAAGGGGTAAGTGGTCTGACTCTGCTCTTGGCTCAACCTTGAAATACTTGATATTGTCAAAAATATCTGTTGATGCAAGAACATAGTCAACCACTGAGGCCCCATTATATTTTATACAGGTAAGATTCCTTTGAGAATCATCATGGATTCTGCCATTTACAATGTGGATTCCGAAAGCATCGCAAACAGATAAAAGTTCGAATCTATATTCATTGACTTGTGAATCCGGAGAGTTTCTGTGTCGATTGAATGTATCAACTTCATAGTTTGCGTTTTCTAACACTGGTAGGTATTTAGTAGAATCACGCTGTATAAAGTCTTGCAATTTTCCAGTAGGTGCATTAAAGTCACCTCCAACTAAAAGTGGGTGATTTGGAAACTTAGAATTAATCAACAGTAATTTTTGGTCAAAATCGTCAATTCCACTTCTATCTTCATGAATTGCTGAGGTGGTAGGGGCAATGAACACACAACCAAATATGATATCATTTTCACAACCAAAAAATTCTTTATCAAATTTTTAAAAAATAGTTTCACTAACTTCATGAAAAATTCTTTCTATTCTTGGGAGTAGTCCAGTTTTTACTAAAATAATGACGCCACCTCTTCTTTTTCCATTTCCCCAGATACAGTTAAAATGAGTATGGAAAGGAAATTTATCACTGATGTCTATCTCTCCACACCAAGTCTCCACCAAACCTACAATATCAAATCCTTTAAGGTAATTAGTATATTCACCAAACTCAAGTTTTGATTTTAGTCCATTAGTGTTCCAAAAAACAATGTTCAAACTTGCATGTTGCCATGTCTTAGGATGCTGATTTTCATTTCAAAACTCCAAATCTTCTAAAGTATACAGTTTTTGATTTGTCAGGAGTTTATCGTATTTCAATGTTGCTTCTTGTCCCTCTCTCGTGCTGCGAGCATATGTTTCACGAGTTTTTTCCGTTTCTGTCTAATAAAAATATGAGTAATCATTTGACACTTTAATGTTTTTGTCGTTCAGGTCGATCACCTTTGTGTACACAAGTTTCTTGTCCTTAGGTTTGGCAAACCTGATCATTTTTGGGCTCGGTCTGCTGTTCGGTTGTCTGCTGTTCCTCGGAATCATGGAGTAACAGGATTCGAATTCCAATGAGTGACTATCTTTTTGCAATCTTTCTGAGAAGAAATCTCTCACCTCGTTTTCAACCTGGGAGGAGTTATCTACCTTCAATCCATATATCAGTATGTTGTTCTGTCTCCATTTATTATCATTTCTGTCAATCTGTTCTTCCAATCTGTCACATACCATTTGATTTCTTGCAAGTTCTTCTTTAAATCCATTATTCTCATTTCTCAGATTCAGTATCTCTGCCGATGATTCATTCACTGTGCGTGTTGAGACCAGCGATGTCCTGTCCTCCCATCTCTTTTCTTCATTTCTTTTACGTTCATATTGTCTGCAAATTCGACCGATTTAGCTCCTATATCTGGCGTACTTCCACTCCTGGTATATGGCCCTGGGTTTTCTTCTACATCTCCGCTGAGAATTAGGCATATACTTGCCAGATTTACGAATACACAAATTTTTTTTAGAGAGCAGATGTTATGTTGAAGTCACGTGATAAGTAAAAGTATATTGCTATATAAATATACAATTACATATTATATATATATATATCAATTAAATGATTCACTACATAAATACCACACAGGATATATTGACAAATACTAATATAATCCTTATAAAGACACTAGCGATTTGCACCTCTAGGCAATAACTTTTTGCTCAAACTTATTTGAATACTGAAAGCCACGGGAATAAATTTCATGTATGATAAATATCAAATACTTAGACCATCATGAATTCCAAAATAATCCAAACGACACTCGTAGAGTATTACTAATGTCTACACCTTCAAACCGAGCTTCCAGTTTTACCGTGTCTTTTTTCCTTTTAAGCAATAATTTTAATAAAGTTTAAAAGAAGTGTTGAATATTTCATACTGGTGATTGTTAATGTATTGCCATATACTGTTATTAAAAATCAGAGCTGCCAGTGGGCATATATTACCTTGTCGGGCAAGCTATCTATTTTCCTGTAATTTTCCAGGGTAATGAATTCATCCATTGTTAATCGCGTATGTCTCTCTATCAGATAGGAAGCACAATGAAATGATAGATACTGTTCTGAAGTTGAAGTCTGTTGTAATTTGTGAAGAAGTTTATCAGATTTGGTGGTCGTTTTCTACAGGAATCAAAATGTTCCCTGTCTTTGTGTTCTATTATCATGGCTTTACAGTGATCAATTTCTGTGTTTACTGTTTTAGATCTGATAAGATATGAGCCATTCTGTATCTGGTTTCTAGTATCATCTTAACATTTCTACCAATTCCTCTTCATATAACCCATTATTCATATAATTTTCAACATATTCATCTGATGTTTCCGCATCTCTTATAGGAATGTTTTGAGACGCATTACGATCAGGTACAACGTCATTTTGTACTGTAATATGCATGCTGAGTATCTCGAATACGGGCTTTAGTAAAGTGGACGTCAATGGTTGGTTTATAATGATCAAATTTAAACCTGCTTTCACTTGGGTTACAGAGTAGTTCTTCAGGTGCGTGTACGTCTTTCGGACTTACTGGTGGTGCTCTGTTTATTTTTATTTCATCCTGCTGGCTGTTAACACCACGTCGACCTTCACCAATTAGAACACGGAACCACTCTATTATAAATGAGAATCGAGATCCCAGTCTAACACCATTTAACAAAATATATTGATCCATCCTAAAAAAAATTAAGAGAAAAAAATGTCATCATCTCCATACGCTAATTTAAAATATGTCACACTTTCAACGGAACTGTATTTTTGAAAAACTAAAGGGAGTATAGAATAATTAAAAAATCATTTCAGTTCCTCGGTCCCCCTACACAAAAATTGGTCACAGTGCACGATCCGATATCAACATTCCCAGAATAAAAATCATCTCAATCGTTTATCGCTTTTATTTGCACCAGATTTCTAAACTTATATTATAGAATTCTACTTTACTATGCACACAACACCAATATTTCTACGTTAAGATATATTAATAGTTATTTAATTCACCTTGTGGCAAATTTATCTAACACAGTGCTTTCATTGAGACTCGTCTCAATACACCTAACACTTTTTTATTATTATGACATGCTATTATATTGTGCTGTTTATGCACCCTAACTTTCCTACTAATCAGATAAATTCAGTAATCTAAGTATGTATAAGAGTATAAGTCCAGTAAGTAGTTGTTTCAACTTCCTCGTTCGATTTTTTCTCTTCCAATCCCCGGTAGGTTTGACACCTTTATTATATTGATGAAAACATCATAGCAGCTGCTAGGCCACCTGTCACATAGATTTGAATATAAAAAAAATTCTATAGTACTGTAAACGGGTAACACTGTTTCTTTAAATTTGTCGGCAACATTGTCTCAAACTGTAAAATCCTGTCAATGTCTTTGATGTATTGCATTAGATCTGTTAAATACATGATTTAACTTACTCTGGTCAGTCGCAGACAGGGCAGTAGTAGGGGGCTAGGGCTAGGAACTTTGGTTGCTAGGCAACGGATGACGTCATAATGGTTGCTAGGGATGACGTCACATCCGGTTTAAGGATGCGCATGCGTGACTTCCGTTGCTAGGGAGATGACGTCATTGGGGAAACCCCTACGGGAATCCCGATGACGTCATGGGAAATCCCAAGGGGGAAATCCCAAGGGGGAAATCCCAAGGGGGAAATCCCAAGGGGAAATCCAAAGGGGAAATCCCAAGGGTAAAACCTCAAGGGGAAATCCCAAAGGGAAATCCCAAAGGGAAATCTCAAGGGGTAAAACCCAAGGAAAAGGGAACTCTTTTATTTTGATTAGGTAGCCCTGAAAAGGGCTGTTTTTTTAACTCACTCCTTTTAGAAGAGCCTTCGACGAACTCTGTGACGGAACCTCTGACGGACGCTGGCTAACAGCTCTGGAGTGATTCTCCGTCTTCGAGGTGTCTCGTTCACCGCCGACTCTTCCAAAAGGTAGATGTCATCCGGAGTGATGATGACAGTTTTACCATTGCGGGTAAATACTTTGACAGGACTGTCATCCACTTCCACAAGTTGCACAACAATCATAGGTTGGGCTGCCATGGTGCAAATGAATGGCCAAAGACAAATGGCTGCGATTTTATAGGCTGTCAACCGGAAAGAGATTTGGGTGGATAAAAAAGATCGACGTGGTATTTTTTTAAACTTTATTCAACTATAATCAATCAACAATGAACAATAATAACATAATA